GGCGCGGTGCCTGTCCCCGGGCGGCGGGTCCCACCTGGAGCCGCCAAGGGCAGCCCTGCTCGCGTCCGCGAGCCCCAGACATCGCCGCCGCTCCCACCCCCGCGCCTGTTTTCCGCTTTTCCCGTCCATGATCGGCGTTTAAAATATTACACAGATATTTTCACACCTAAAACTGTTGTGGGGTTGTTTTTTTTCCCCCCTTTCCTTCCCCTTCCCAGTCCCCATCGCCTTGATTCAGCCCTTGGTAATTAATTTGGCATTTCAGAGTAGCTACTGGGCTGGATAATGCCTGCATTCATCCCCTCGGCCTAATCTGAACAAAATCTGGAAGAAAAGCTTTCAGAAAGACAGAAACTGCCATTCGGTTACTGTTCAAAAGAACTGTCACTCCCTAGGAATAAATCGCTCCTGATTATTTCCAGCGGGGGCGTCTTTGGGTTTCCAGAAACCCTACGAGGACAGGGAGGGGGAAGAGCTTTATCATCATTTCTCCAGGGGCCGATTTGCCCGGGCGTTTCTTTTCTGCCGACCGTAATAACCGCAGACAATAGCGAGCAAGCGGCGGCGAGCGGGCCGGGGGCAGGCGCGGACACAGGCCGGGGGGGTTGACTTTTCCAGCGGCGTCCGGGCTTGCGTGTTGGTTCCGTTTTAAAAATCAACCCCCCCCCCCCCCCATCTCTCCATAAAATTGCAGCGGAAAAGGGCAGGGCTGAGATTAGATCCAGCAGCCGAATAATCCCGGGACCGGGAGAAGTTGCCTCGGGACGGAGCTGGGGGTGCTCGGCACGAGGAGCGGAGACGGGGCCGGCCTCGGCTCGGGGGCCTCCTTGCCCCCGCCACGGCCCGATCCCTCCAGGGGAAAGCCACGGAGCGCGGCGCAGCGCCGGCCGCAGGGGTCTGAGCGGGTCCGAGGCGACGCCGGGGCTTGCTCGCAGCTTGTAGGAAGTGGAGGTTTGCCCCGGGACTTGTCCGCGTCGAGCGGGAGCGAGGCAGGGCTCGGGAAGGGCAACAAGTGCGTGCGGGAGCGCCGGGAGCCGCGAAGAGCTGCCGTGGCCGCCCGGGGAGGCGGCGGGCTGCTCCGGGAGCTTCCAGAGGCGGCGGTTCACTCCCCGCCGCCGGGCCTGCCCGAGCTGCGCTCCCGCCGGGCCGGCATCTCCGCGCCTGTGCTCGGCGGTGCCGCGGGACACGGAGCGCAGCGGCCGCTGCGCTCCCGCGCGGCACAAGGGGCACC